TTAAGCATTTGATTGACTCCATGGGGCGGTTATTTCAACTCCCATGGGGCATTTGATTCACTCTGGCAGAGAATTTACAGCTGAGTATGTCAACCACCATGGGCATTTAAATTTGACTATTTTGACTCCATGAAGAATTTGATTGACTTGAGGGGTTATTATGTTTAATTGTAAATGCATTGCCAGAGTTGACATACTCAATTTCAAATGCCCTGGAGGAGTGAACCCAATGCCCCATGGGAGTCAACATATTTGATTTAAAATACCCTGTCAGAGTAAATAAAATGCCCTGGAGGAGTAAACTACATGCGCCGCGGGGGTCAACATATTTGACTCTAAATTTCATGACAGAGTGAATAAAATGCCCTGTCGGAGTGCCCTGTGAGAGAACATATTTAATTTTATATGCCCTGACAGCATGAATAAAATGCCCTGTCGGAGTGAATTAAATGGCCGCAGGGTCAACATATTTGATTTTAAATTCGCCGACGGGGTCAATAAAATTCCCCATCGGAGTGAATAAACTGCCCCGCGGGAGTTAACATATTTAATTTTAAAAGCCCCGACGGCGTAAATAAAATGCTCCGTCGGGGTGAATTAAATCGCCGCGGGGTCAAAATATTTGATTTTAAATTCGCCGACGGGGTCAATAAAATTCTCCGTCGGAGTGAATAAACTGCCCTGCAGAAGTTAACATATTTAATTTTAAATGCCTCAATGGAGTGAATTAAATACCCCATGAAAGTCAATCAACTGTCTCCCACCCAATTCAAATTTTATATTCCCCATCGGAGTGTATTGAATGCTTTGCAGGAGTCAACATATTTAATTTTACATGCCCCGACGGAGTCAATGAAATGCCCCACCGGAGTTGTGGGGGAAAAAAATGAGCTGTACTGTTATAGCTTCTCAATACATCTTTCCAGCATACTACAACTGTTGTAAAATAGGTTCAAGTTTACTTTGGAAAAGAATTTTGGCACATGGTGGAGAAATGAGGTTGAATGCATGAAATATCTCACAACATGATATTGTTGACTTTTCTGTATACTTTGCTACCAAATCTCAACATCTGAGCCTTTCTTATACATAGTCAACATATGGCAGAATATATATCCCCTGCTCCAAAGCAGTTTTCTGATGGTTTGGGGGAGCTGGAGCTTGAAAGGGTGAAAATATGACTCTAAACATGAAACCACATTCTTTCTTATTTCCTTTCACTATCTAAATCTTGTTGAAATGCTCCCATACTTTCCCCAAATATAGCCTACATACTTTAGAATCAATTCAGATAGGTGGGGGAAGCAGTTGTGAGGGAAGAAAAAAAAATATAACTTGATGTATGCAAAATGGCATGTTGTGCAACTGGTTTGTATAAAGATTCATGCACCAAATAGCTCTTTCCGAGGTCTGTTCACAAAAACTTCTTCAATCACTGAGAAAACTATTCCAAATTATTCTATTCCTTTCTGGGATCCCCCCAATGTCTTTGTTTTGTTGGCGCGTTGCATCGCCAATGAGCGTGGCGCAGTGCGTAGTTTCAGATGGTGTGTGAATAATGTGCTCCTTCCATATTAGGTTGCCGCTGGCCCATATTTGGTAAGGCGGGCTGCCAGAGTTGTTCTACTTCTAAAAACTAAATGGTGCACACCTCAACTATCTGACCTCCAATTCAGTGGATCTTTCTTTTGTATTATGAGGATTTGTCATGGCTACTAGCAGGACCTTTCATCGATATTGTGCGTTGATTTCTTGACAATATATTTCTTGTTTCTGCAAATCACATATTCCAAGCCATTGCATGTTTCAGTTCACATGGATGGATGATCTGGGCACCAGCTTAAAAATGCTGTAGTGGATTGACTCCTCTATCTTGAATAAATGCTTCGCCAGAGCTGACATTGAATTTTGAATGCCCCATCGGAGTCAATCAAATGCCCCGTGGGAGTCAACATTTTGAATTCTCAATTCCCTGTCAGTGTCAATCAAATGCTCTGCCACAGTCAATAAAATGCTCTGCTAACTTGACATATTCAAGATCATGCCACAGATGACCATATTGTGGAGGTCATGTTTTCAATTTCAATGTCAAACACCCTGATGGGGCCATTGCCGACAGTGCCTTCAATCTCAACCTCAAACACCCCGACGGCAACATCCTCTGTGGTGCTTTCAATTTTAATGACAAACACCCCAACAGAGACATCCCCCGCGGCGCCTTCAATTTCAATGTCAAACACCCTGACGGAGACATCCTCTGCGGCGCTTTCAATCTCAACCTCAAACACCCCAATGGTGACATCCCCCGCAGCACCTTCAATTTCAATGTCAAACACCCCGACGGAGACATCCCCTGCGGCACCTTCAATTTCAATGTCAAACACCCCGACGGTGACATCCCCCACGGCACCTTCAATCTCAACCTCAAACACCCCGATGGCGACATCCTCCGCAGTGCTTTCAATCTCAACCTCAAACACCCCGACAGTGACATCCCCTGCGGCACCTTCAATTTCCATGTCAAACACCCCGACGGAAACATCCCCCGTGGCGCCTTCAATCTCAATGTCAAACACCCTGACAGAGACATCCCCAACAGAACCATCAATTCCAGTTTGACACCCCAATGGAGCCACAAATGAGTAGACAAGGTGTGAGTAGCTAAATGAAAAGCTTTCATTTCTTAACTACAAGGTGAGTGTTTCCCTGTTGGGACAAAATTCAGTTTTTGGTTGATATGGAGACTATCTTGCAGGAGTTGGATGAGATAAAGATTAAGATACATTATGCTACAGATCTAGATGGATGTAAGTAAGGGGAGAGAGGCCCCAGTTAAATGTTTTTGTAGTTCCATCAGGATGGGCTGAGAGCCCGTCGGGACGTGGTCAGAGCCCGTCGGTTGAAAAAGTGGTTCCGCCGCAGGAGCGTAAACCCTGCCAGGGTCAGAAACTGGCCGCTTCATTGCCAATGGAACAATGGCAATCAAACTGGCTGCCCCAGCTGACCTGTTCACTACGACTGATTGTCACGTCCGGCTGTTCCGTTGTTATTGGACCCATGTGACTGAACTAACTAGTCTAATAGTTTCTGAAGCTAATAACATTGATAGCATCTGGCTCAATCAAGCACAGGCAGTCTTTCATGTACCGCAGACCAGCACCGAAGCTTCGCCCCTCCCCCTGTCGTCGTCGACCCGGGATGTGGGCATAAATGTATGTCCCCTTCTTTCTCTCTTGTTCACCACTGACCACGGTATTATGGCCTAAGCCCCGCCGTCTCGAACCCAACGCAAGTGTGTACGACCTAACAGCAACGTGTATCACCCAACACATCTGTTTCGGGCCCAACACTGGTGTCTACAACCCAACACCGACATTTTGAGCCGAACGCCAGCATGCACGACCAGCACCGAAGCTTCGCCCCTGCCCTTGTTGTCCTCAACCTGGGATGTGGGTGTACACAAAAGGTCGAAGCAGGAACACACAGCGAATCTGAAGACTGCTCCACCATTGGGCCACGACGCTGAGAAGACCGTGTCACGCGGGAGTGAGAATAGTGTAATCGGACGTGCTGACAAGATGCGTGAACACCTAAACAACACACACACACACAAACACCTTAAACACTTATCACCACAGGTACATGCTCGGTACTTCGAGTTCGTACGGTAAACAGAATTACCACACTTGTTTTGTTAGAACTTAAGTAGAAGTTCGGGGAAATGTTTTTTGTATATTTTATATCACTTGTCTAAGTCTAGTAGACCTTTTTGGAACAAAAGGTATTGTTTTACTTGCGGACACAGTATAGAATTCGAAACTTAGTAGTCTTCGAAGGGAAACGGCTTTTATTTGGGACTGTCTCGGTGTTCTGGGATTGCGTTCTAACTGTATATGAAGAAATGACAAGGAAATTGTGCTTTGTAGACTTTTATAACTCCCTTGAGCTTTTATTATGCCTCTGATGCGGTCCAAACTAGTCTTAAAGACTCTTCAAGCACGCTCACTTGGATTCCTTGGTAATAGTAGAGAGCTCTCTTACTAATTGACGAGACAACCTTACAAAAGCTTTGTGATCCCCACTTAACACGCTGGTTCCGGGCACACGTTACTTATGTCTGCGAAGAAAAGTCCTTAAATTGATTACAAACTTATCCACTACCTCAGATGCTACTGGGAGTGCGACAGCTGGTCAACGCGGGGGATAATTCCTTGCGTTTCAGCCTGCGCGCGTCCTCTTTTTATACTATTCTATGTTTTCTATTTATATTTACATGTCCGTGCGTTGTCCGAAAGGTCGGACGAATTAATACTGATTTTTAGTAAAGGTTTGAAGTGGCTCGGTTGTGTGTGGCACAACTGAGCTGACTTCTTTTAAGTTTTCGTAGTGTTTTCTCTATTGTGGCGGCGCGACGCATCAGTATTGATGCGTACGCGGGAATCGCCGTAAACGGTTTTCACGATCGGTTCAGCCAAGACGAACGGTCCGCTTAGTGATTTTTCTCTCTATTATTAGATACTATGCCCGGGCCTTGGACCGCACGGCAAATCGTTCATAGTTTTTCTCTTTTGGCAGGCTTCGGAATATTTCACGAAGCTTAGTTTTCTTGGGTCAATGATGCCATGATTTGTGATGCACATGATGTGTCTTTCCACATGACTTCTTGGATCATGCTTCGTAGCACGTGACCGAATGACTTCTCGCGTCAGGTACACGTCGAGTTTCTACGCTCGCACGTTTATCTTTAGAATTAATATCTTTTAATCCATAATAAAGTGAGACCCTGGTTTGGTGTAAACTCCAACACCCTGTGCAGGGGTGTTTTTTACTCTAGAACACTCGGTAGCGTACTATTTCATGGTAGTGAAGCCTGAGCGATTGTCACAATTTCTTTCTAACTTTCCCCACCATGCCTACCGCATTCCTTGGTTGTCGCGCCGCCGTTCAAGCGTTCGAAGTCGGTTTTGACCTCTTCTCGTGTTCCCGCCTCAACCGCACGACCCGAGTGCACCAGTTGATTTCACGGATTTCTCCGGTGAAACACCCTTGCCACTGTACATAGCGTTGATTGTGCAGGTCTTTCGCTTTCAGTATTGTTTCTCTCATCTCTCTTCATTCCACAGCGCGATGCCTTGAAAAACTGTATGTTACTCACGAAAATATGGAATATAAGCTAAATTTAAATAGGTCGGCGTGAATCCGTGCGCTTTCTGTGGGCTTGAAGAATCGAACGCAACTCTCCTTTGGAAAGCATAATGCACCCATCATCAGCTCAACCTGCCCATATCATTACGAGAGGATGAGCTACAAACCAGCAAAACAGTCTACAGTGAGCACACCATGTACCAATGTACCGATTAACTGCCCACTATGTCCAATCTCAGTGTCTGGACAACCTCACACAATATGGAAGTATAACTGTGTCTGTCACATACTCACCCACCATTCCACCGAGTTAATAGGCAACTCAGGGGAAACAGTGGACCCCATTTTTAATGGGAAACTTCCCGACACTCCAGCACAGCTAATTGTTGACCTGTTTATCTCGAGACAGGAGGAGTGTTGTATGGAGGTGACAGAGAAGGCAACAGCGGATGCGAGAGAGGAATATGGCTTACCGAACAGCGATGACTACAAGATAGCAAAGAAGAAGTTACCGAAGGAAATGGAAAAGCGGCCACTGGCACGGCCGCAAACAGTCACCAGTACAGGTGGGAAGAAGAAAAAGAAGAAGTAATTAGGTTGTTTTATCTACATTCGATAATCTACACCAGGGCGGCCCAATGTTGCCGCCATCACATCAAGCCCTGAGTCGCACAACCCGAGTGCACCAGTTGATTTCACGGATTTCTCCGGTGAAACACCCTTGGTGAGTCTCTGTTCTTTTCTTTTATTCTCTGCTGATTTTCGACTTTTTATTGCCTTAGTTAGCATTGTTTTCAGACATCCTCGCTCGTCCTGGTGGTCCTACGCCACACGAGTCTCGTTTACTGGCGTCCGTTTACAATGCTGCCCAATGCGTTGAAGAACGCAACCGAAGTACTGCCTGGGAGGAATGGCTGCAAGAACCATTGGATGGTCATGCGCTTTATAGCCCCGTAAGTAACTTTCTTCTGTTCTTTCTTTTTATTTTTCTTCTAATGATTTTTATCTTTCTAGGGCGAATGCCTAGACTCCAGCTTTACCACGGGGTACATAGGAGAGGAGGACGCCGAGCGACCGCGGGTCTTCGTCACCTCCGGGGATCATTACTCCCTGAGGTCGAGCTCGTGTCGTTCAGTCCCCTTCTCCTACGGGATCCGATCCGTTGTTTCTACCAAGCCCTGGCCCAGAGTCCCC